CACAAGGATGAAGGGCGGTGAGAAGGCCAGTGTGGAGTGCGGAGAGTTCTCATGAAAGCCGCTAAAAAGGACACACCGTAACAGATTTAATTATGCAAGTAAAAAATTGTGAGAGTAAAGGCGTGATAGGAGGCTATAGGAAATGTGAATAGGCCTGGTCAGAAGTGGCTGAACACACAATAGAAATCGGACACGAGATTGAGGAGTTTCATACTCATCCTTTTGCCGATTTTAATATACAACAGACAAAAGCTTAGCACATTTTTGCCGGAATCGAAGGAGATTGCCTCGGAAACAGCGTCAATAGGAATGTTACAGTAAAACCAATCGACAGCTGGTCAAGAGGAATTCGCCGTCGTCTTCTGGTAAGATCAACCTTTATCACGCGCGCTCTCATTAGAAATGGATGTAAGCTCGACAATAATGAACCAATAGATACGTCAAAACCCAACTTTACTTCGCATGCTTATCGTATGTCTGCTGCTAAACACAAGATACGCGAGGCTAATGACATTGATAGATTGGGGACTACGCAGAGTGTGAGGAATATAGGTAGGAACTCGAGTAAGAACAATTGAGGACTTTTAGTTTACATTAAAGTGCATGATGAAGAAGTTCGTATGTCTATCTTGCCAGAAGACGATGACTGATTCGCATCGTTCTTCAGCTATTTGGCTCCAAGCTGACGCAGTCCACGAGACTCCCTCTCGTTTCCGATCAAATTGGGCTAGCTCTCGTCCGTCATATGACATTATCAGAATTGTAGCTCATTCTTGCAAAAATGCGAAGTCAAGACGACTTTCCGGCTTTTTCCCACATGATATATACTCACGACTAAAATCTAACAAGCATAGATATAGGTAGGTATATAATGGTTCATTTTGTTCTCTTTAAAATCAATCCAGGTACGTATAGTTGAGTATGTGTCTGTGTGGTTGTGTGTGTTTACTTTTTTACATGTGTAAGTCATAGTAAGAAATGCCGTAATTACTCAGAAAAAGCATAACGTCATGTCCGGGTTATTAAGGCTTAATTTTTCAGGAAAAACTATGACATTGCGTAGGTCTGAAAATAACTCCGATTGAGACGACAAAATATTAGCCTGTCCGCGTTAAGTCATGCTTTGGAACACCAGTAATAATCCTTTGGTCTGGGGTCATTTAGGTTTAATAATCCGATGATTATGGTGACCGGAATTTCATAGTCTCATACTTCCTGTTGAGTTTATCGACTCACTTTGATCAAAACAGCTCATAATTTGTATATATATAACTATATAAATGTGCCAAACGAATTTACATGCTTTTGCTTCATTTAATTTCTGGTCTGTTTTTTAAAATTTCCCTACAGACAGCGACCGAAGCGCGTCTACTTGAGGATGAACGTGCTCGTGCTCAGTTGGAATACGAGAATATAAAAAAGGAGTTTACGCTTGAGGAAGAGGGCGAGGATGCACCTTCGTTGGATGCCAAGGCGGAATCTCAATTGAATGCGCAATTGATCGAAGCTTTAGTAAATGCAAAAATGGTTTCTATTGATCGCTTAGCTCTGGAATTCAACTTGAAAGTTGATGTGAGTTTTAATTGAAAGCCCACTGCTTAATTGTCACGAGCTTAGTGTGTTATTCTCGGCATAAGTAGCTTTTAATACTATCAGTAATTCCTGCATACGAACTTAGTGTCCAAAGGTTGTCCAAGGCACTCAAGGACTGATAAAGTGAGTAGGCCTCATGATGCAATTGAATTTTACTCGTCATTGCTTCTCATAAGGCTATTCCATCCAAAGGGGACTGCGCTTTCACCCCCACCTAGGTTTCACCAGCATCTTTAATGGGTCGTTAGTATGGTGGCGGTTTTACTACTCCTCCACATGGCTGCGGGTGCCAGAGGGCCACGGGGCACATGGGACAATTATGACAAGTCAAGCCTCACTCGAATCAGATTTATAGTGAAATTATCAATTGAGCAAACATGTGTTTACCATTGCGATCGACGACGCTACTTATTTTAAGTGTAAGTAGATTTCCAGACCATCAATAATTCTTTTATAATAACTTAGTCACCCTAGGTCGCTTAATGTAGTTTAATGAATAATGGTTAAGCTTTCTTACTAGGCTTCACTTGTCTTGATGATCACCTTTGCCATATGGCTTTCTGATGTTAGTGGCTATGAAGTGGAGTGCAAACGCTGCGATGATACGAACGACCCGGTCTAGAATCGAATTTGAGGGCTGATGAAACCCATGTGAGGCCGAAACTACAATCTATTCCATATTATATAGCCCTTTTGGAGACAAAGCCCAATGAACTTCTGTGACATTGTGAGGCCCGCTCATCTCATCGTAGGAAGACTCAACTATCAATAGTTAAATCACCTCGTGCGAGTTAGGTTGACCAAGTTCTTATTATTGAATTATATTTGTCGCCACTAGATCGTATGCTACAATATATTTTCTTCCTTATGGCCTACCAATGTTACAGTTCTAATCATTGAACCGATATTAATTGGCTTCTAGCTTTCAGTTTATTGAATAAGGTATGCTCTATCATAGGCGTTAGTGACGGCTTTGTGGATTCCCTTTCATATCACTTTTTTATGGACCCAAGTCACTAGTATAGGATGAAATACTTCTTCATCTTTGTGTCATAAATTTATTTATGCTGATTTATGGAGAAACTTTATGGGCTAGCCTGCTATTTTAGATAGCTTTGAACTTACTTGGCAGGGTGTTTGACTGAATACTTTAATTTTTGTTTACTATTAGGACTAATTCTTCGAAAGGGTCCTAAAACCCGTGTTACTTGACATCATTTATTTGTAGAATGATATTAATTTTTTTCGCAAGGTATTCTCACTATTTCCTCTTCCTGACGTGATGTGGGAAAGATAACATTAATATTGTTACTAATTGTTGCCTTTCGCCAGTGTTAGTCATTGGAGCTTGCATTAAACGCTATTCGGATTTGCTGCTACATCCTACCCATATACACAATGTTCTCACTTTTTAAAAAGTCAACTTCAATGTAGAAGATATAATACTGGCCAAAATATCGACAGAATTTGTTTGCCTTAGTGGGTAAGCCCAAATAAAGTCTGATTCCCAAGTAATGAAATTTTCTTAACCTAGTGTGAACTTGAGATATTATAAGAATGAGTTCCAGCTTTGATGATGTCGATCATATGATAGGCGAAAACTTAGCCCGTTTTC